GCAGTTGATGTGTCTTTTTTTTTTTTTTTTTTTTTTTTTTTTTTTTTTGGTTTTATTTTCTTAGGAAAAACAAAAAAACAAAACCAGAAAGGACAAGCACATACACTGATGAGGTTCTCTGACTTTGCACCCAGCCCACTGTCCTCCTCGGCAAGATCCTCGAACTCGTCCTTCAAGATATCAGCAACTTCATTTTGCTGAAGAGCAGTCTCATACCTGCCATATACTTCTGACAGCACTCCAGACAGTGTCAAGCAATCATATAGATGATGGCAGAGCACAGAGAAGTAAATCAATCAACCTCATTCCCAATATCTTTGCTTTGCATAGAAACATGGAGAGATGATAAAGAAACTCCAAAGCCTCACGATAAGCAACGGCGGAAAAGGACGATCATAGAGCCTGCAAATGGCTGGCCGTAATCGCTTCCAGCTGCCCCCCGTCAGACCCGACAGTTGCAGGCAGGTCTGGCTACCGTCTTCACCCAAATAGAACGCCCCGTCATTATAGCCGTATCTGGTTCAACTTTCAGTCTAGGTACAGCGATAATGACCAGGCGTTGTATTCGGGTGAAGACGGTAGCCCATGTCCCACCTGGCCAGGTGTGGCCAGGTGATGGGAGGATGGCCCTTGGCCAGGTTGGGGCAATTGTGGTGGCAAAAAATGGGCCAGTCGTGAAACAAAAAAGAAAATGGCCAGGTGTGGGCAGGTCTAGACTTGCCACGAGTCACCAACCAAAAAGATATATGCACGTATGCATGTGGGGGTCTACACCCATGCATATATGTCTATAGGGGTACCGGCCCCTATTTTTCGTGATTTTTTTCGGTTTGCTGGAGGTGTGACCTCGATATGCTTTGAATTTTGTCTCATCACTTTTTTTTCTCCCACTCATATGTGGCATGTGCAGTTGTCTCGAGACTTGTCATTCATGTATCTAGTTGTTCTCGAGTTCCAATGGTTATCAAGGGTACAATATTGTCAGGGCCACCAATTGCATAGGTGGGAATGGCCAGGCTGAGTATGGGTGGGTAGGGTGTTTTGGACGGGTACGGGCGGGTATGGGCGGGGACGGGCGGGTGAAGGTAGTGAAAAAAATGCCAGCTATGGGCGGGGGGGGGGGGGGGGGGGATTGTGCTTAAGGGCCTGGGTGGGGGAAGGTGGTGAAACATATGTCGGGGTCTGGGCAGGTTCGGCTGCGATTCTTCTTCAAAGTCTGGGCTCGGGTGGGCCCGGGTTTGTATGCCCAAATTGGACCCAGCTGGGGCTGGGCCAGGTTGTGAGGATTCTTAAATGACGGTTATGACTGACTGCAGCTGCCAAATATTATGGATGTTTAACACAGGACGGACGTGGCTGTAGGAGAAGTAGGAGTTTGCGAGCTCTGGGGCAATGTCTTCTCCCATATGGCTGTGCCTCACTCTATACTTGCCAGAATTTGTGTGGATGCTTCTTTGTCAGCTTGTTTGCTGCTGTACCTAGCCCTTGTGGCTCGATGGTATACCCCTGCAATGCCTGCATGTAATTGTCTATAATAATAAGAAAAAACAGGCCTGAGTTCGAATCCTGATGGAACGAGACGAGTAGAATAAATCTGAAATACCTGGGTTTGGTCAGTTTGATGATGATGCCTCAAGGTCGTTGACATTGCAGAATAAGAAAGTTTTTTTTTTTTTTTTTTTTTTTTTGACATTTCAGAATAAGAAAGGTTGGTTGTTCCTGCACCCAAAAGTCAGGAATCGCAAGTCTCTACCCAGTATATGTGTCTGCATGGTACACATGTAACTGCCAATAGACAGTTGACGAGTTTGAACTCCACAGCTGTGAATAAATAGCCCATGAGATGGAATCAGATCGAATGAATACAACAATGGTAGGGCCTACATCCTTTTTCTTTTTCAAAAAGAAAAAAGCACTTCAGAATTACAAAAAAAAAAAAAAAAAAGAGATGCTTCATGTAGACAGTTGATCTTCCCATCAGCCGAGATGTCTTCGAGTAATGGAACAGCTTTGGTGGTGAGCATTCGCATATCACTCCATCCACACTCAGGAAAGAGAAAAAGTCATGGTTAACATGTGAAACCACAATCAAATCGGAAACAGAATGAGAAAAAACGCCCGTATTCTGAAGTACGTATGTAGTCCTTACTACGATCAATTGATGATCAATCCAAATGAGAGAAAATATACCAAGCAATTAACGTGACAGATAGAAGTCCGAGAGTGGTAAGTCGCGATTGGCTACGTTGCAATCGTAATGCCAAGAGACTTCGATGTTAGAACCAAATTTGAAGCTGCAATTTAGCATAAGTCGAGGTAAACTCGAACATATCAACGAGGTTGATCATGCGCACTCGTATGAAGAAAGGCTTCATACATGGCACGGCTCAAAAGACATATACTGTTGTAACGTCTCTCTCACACACGGGAATGCTACCGTCTTCACCCGAATAGAACGCTCCGTCATTATAGCCGTATTTGGTGCACTTTTCCGTCCAGATACGACTATAATGACCCCGGGCGTTCTATTCGGGTGAAGACGGTAGGGTGATGAGGTCTAGATACATGACAGTTAACAGCAAAGCTGCAACGTAAGGGTTTGCTGCTTAAAAAAAAGAAAAAGAAAAAAAAAAGGGAGTCATGGCACAGGTTAGAAACCTTAAAAGGATTGTCTGTCTCTATCCTGGGGTCAAGTCCCACGAGCAGCACTGAGTTTCCCCAACGTGCGAATCTGGTCGTGTTCGTGGAGAGTTGCGGTTGAGGAAACTCAACGCGATTTCTGCACATCTCCACAATTAAGTCCAGATTCAGGGGTTGAGGAAACTCAACGCTGCGAGTGGGACTTGGCCCCTCGCTGAAGGGTACACAGTACTACACACATGTAACTGTTGATGGGCAGATTATGAATTCAGGTCCTGATTTTGGGCCTCGCTGCACTACTCTTGAAATGCACAAAAGACAAAAATCATGGCCGTGTATCTTTCCATAGTCTAGCGGAAGATTCACTCTCGTTTTGCACACTCCGAGAGTAGTGCAGCGAGGCCCTTTATGTTAGATGGACACAAGAGCGTTAGGGGGTACCCCTTTTTACCCAAAAAAGAAAAAAGAAAAAAGAAAAAAAGAAAAGAAAAAGGATTGTCTGTCTCACCTGGGCTTCACCACCTGCAGAAAGGCATTCATGTCCTCCGTAGACATGATTTTGATTTTCTCCGTATCAGGCAAGTCCTGAGCAGCATACTGTGTCACTCCATTCCTCAACAGGAAACTGCAAGTTGGCAGGAACAAAGCGAACCCCCTTTTTTTTCACTTTCTGATTTGTTACAGAAGATTAATGGCCCTGAGGTCCGAGCCTTAGGACGTCTATGCTGCAACCTAGCTGTCCCAAAGTCCCAAAGTTGGGGACCTTTGGGCAAAAAGTTTCAAACCTGTGTGCTTCCCTAGTAGGGCTAGCAGGGCTCAGACAAAAAAAAAGCGACAAAAAAGAAATACGAAGGCACAGAGTCACAGACACACAGTTAACAGACATGCAGTGGTATGGAGCAGACTAAGCAGGGCCACAGCTTTTATATATATGGTCTTCCTGCTAGCCTCGACTTTTATATATGGTCTTCCTGCTAACAGACTTTTGGAAAATGCAGAGTATCAGGCAGCTAGCTGGCAGAAGAGGCGGTGGCCTTCCTGCTAACAGACTTTTATATATGGTTCTGGACTCCCACGGTGTCTTATGGACGGGACGCTTGAGCAGGGCCACAACATAAAAACACAGTATATTAGGCGGCCAGCAGGCTGAAGAGGCCGTGGTGCCCCTGCTAAATGTTTCCTTTTTCTTTTTTTTTTCTTTTTTTTTCTTTTTTTTTGTCTTATATAATATATACAGCTGAAGCTGGGTAATGGCCCGGTATTGGACTTTTGCCATGATTTATGGATGGGACGCTGGACCCCGTTTTTAGCAGCTGCTGCTCCCCACCAATAGACCCGCGCCACCCGTAGCAGACGTTGTTAAAGGGGGCTGCTCATATCACCCCCTCTAGCACCCGGCACGGGGCTCTTTCAAAAAAAACGAAAAAAGAAAACAAACAAAAGAAGAGTTAACAGGGTTCCCAACTACTGTAGGACTCCTGCACCTTTGCACACTCGTTTCACAATTTACTAACAAATTAATAACAAAAAAAAGAAAAAAGTCAAATGACGGCTCCAAAGGTGTTGCTTCTGCCTTCACAAAAGCAATGTCAAGTTACTTGAACTTTTTTTTTTTTTTTTTTTTTTTTTTATTTGGACCATTTCTCGATTTATGCGTGTCATCCTTGCTCAGGGGCCATGCTAATCTAATCTTCTCTGTATCGTTCCAATTTTAACGGATGTCCCGAAGGACAAGTTGCCTGGACATTCTATTTCTTTCAGTTGGTGAATGAATCTGTTGTGAAGCACGAACTGGTCTGTAGTAGACCATATGCACATTTCTTTTCCATATTAAGTAGTACTAAATTGAGAACACTGAATGCACGGCTCGCGCGTTCAAAAGAAACTGTGAGTGATACTGGCGGTTGAAACTTGAAAACGAAAGGAAGACCGGTGTGCAACTGTGTGTTGTTGCACCGACTCTTAAATCAAGTTAAATGCCCGTAAAAGTCGGCAAAAGTCGGTAAGACTTAAGATACAGAAGCGATAGAAATCATGCAGCCTAACCGGGCCAGGGAGACGGACTGGGTTGGACAAGGAGTAGCACGCACATGCAGAAGACTGAGCCAGCCCAAGCATCTGGGCCTGGGGTTAGCCCAGGTACGACCCTCGCAGGATTTCAGACCCACAAATGGAATGCTATATCTGCGAAGAAGTTGAAGACTAAGTGTTGCTACTCTACAAGGTGGTAGGATTAGGAAGGTGGAACCTGAAGGTGAGGCGAGGACGAAAGGGGTCGCAGGCATGGTACTACGGACCGTCCAGATCTGGATCTGGGATTCTCAGTAATACTCGAGCCAGTATGCTCTGTAGCATTGTTTTTTTTTTTGTTGGAAGGGCAACAGCCTTGAGATATCATCATTGAAATCACCGGCCCCAGGTAATTCACAATGATTTTATTCTGGTCATCTGATTGCATCTGGATTCGAACTTGGGTCTGTGTTTCAACCCCTTGTCGCTGTACCAACTGAGCTACCGTCTTCACCCGAATAGAACGCCCGGTCATTATCGCGGCATCTGGACCGAAAGTTGTGCCAAATACAGCTATAATGACCGGGCGTTCTATTCGCGTGAAGACGGTAGGCCAATTGGTAGTATGCTCTGTAGCTTAAGAAAATCAGTACAAAAAATGCAGTGAGAAGTAACGGACCAAGAATGCGGGCCCTTTGATCAGGGGAATCGTACCGTGACTTGGAAAGAACTTTGGACGGAGAGAGACGATAGGGACGAAGAAACCATCTACAAGGCAAATTGCAAGTAGCGCCAGTTCGGTAGGAATCGGAGAGTGGCAAAAATCTGCGCCGGGAAAAATAGGCTCAGTTAGACTGGGGTTTATTGAGGGTCATCCTTGAGCAGGTGCCATTCTAATCTTCTCTGTATCGTTCCAATTTTAGTAGATATCCTGAAAGACAGGACCACAAGGCCCTGTATTTTCGGGGAAAGAAAAAAAAATGCTGGCTCTTTCTCAACTGCAAGGTGACCCCACATAAGTATGGCTGAGTGGCAAGTGCCCAATGCATCCATTTTGCAAATGCAGGACTTACAAAAGAGAGAGAGTAGGAACCGTATGACCCAACCTTTTTTTTTCTTAAAAGAAAAAAAAAGGGATCCTTATGGTTCCGGCTCCTTGTCCATTCCGGGGAGCATCAGTCCGGTTCCTATTCCACCGGCAAGTTGGAAAGGATTACAATGAATACTCATTCACGCTCCTCCCCCTTGTGGTGTGGAGGTCCGACGGACGACATTGATTACTTCCCGAAGGAAGGATGTACCGCCCTTCATCCCTGCCTAAGTCAGTCTGTTTTACTGGTAATCTGGTCTTATCCTGTATTTGGCGCTAAAACCCTAAACCCTAGCTTAATACTTCTTTGTCTGTAGCCTGTCTCTGGTGGTCGTTTCCATATGATAGCCTGATGTGGTTGCTGTGGCAGGTCTGAATTCTAGGTATCGCTTGAAGAGGGGTCTGTTTGGATTCGGTGAAGGTATTCTTGTTAGGGCAGGTGTTGAGGTTTTGGGGGTGGCTGGGTTAGGGGTTTCGGATAGGTTTGGTGTACTGGGTAATGTAAGGAGGATTTGGGGGGGTGAGGGGGGGTAGTAGGAGATGGTGGTGGTATGGATACTGTCGCTTGGGGGTGGGGAGGGGGGGGGACAGGGGAAGGTGTGGGATTGTTGGGGGGAGAGGGGTCTTTATTTTAGGGTAATTGCGTGTGGGGTAGGAGAGTTGTTGCGGCGCTTTGAGTCTGTGTTATGATTAGCCATTTTTTTTAGAGTTAGTCTGTCATTGTTGATTGTGCCTCGTAGCCCATTACCTAGTTTGGAGGTTGAGAACTTTTTGATTATTTGTTTTTTTTTGTCGTGGTCATTGGGGAACTTTTTCAGTTGTTTTTTCCAGAGGGCATGGATTTCGGTGTCTATTAGTTGTTTGACGATGATGAGCGGGTTCTCTGGGGTGGTGAGTTGGTCATCGAAGGTGCTGTCGCATCTGTTGTTCCAAATGGCCCATAGGGTGCTTTTCTTGATTTGGGAGGGGAGGAAGGCTTCGAAGCCCTTGAGCGGGGATGATTGTTTGAGGTCGAGCAATAGTGTGGCGGGGTTTATTAGCAGGGGAGAGTCCGAGATTTTATACCATGATGATTCTAGAGCTTGCCAGAGAGATCTGGCGTTTGGGCAATCCATGAAACAATGGTTCAAGGATTCAGGGGTATCGAGGCTGCATACCTTGCACCAGGAGTCCTATTGTTGTTCTGTTTTCGCGATTGCGTCTGTTGGCCAACCATTGGTTTACTGGGACTGCTATGAAGGCCATTAGCCATCTCAGGCTGGCAAGCTTAACCGGTCTTGTGGATAAGACTGTAGCCCAAGGAAGTTTGAAGTGGGTGTTGGTTAGTTATGGTTCCGCCTTTGTCCACCTATTGCGCACTGTGTTGGATATTGATATGGTTTTGGTGAAGAGTTGATAACCTAGTTTAGGTGTGTAGTCAGTTAACCTACTTAGGTTTGAGATGAGGGTTGAACAAGAGGAGGAGTTCCATGTCCATTCAGTTGGATCGATCTCCAGATTACAAACGCTAATGTGAGGTTTATAGACTCATTTTTTTCCGCCTCCTATGATTTTGATTCTTCTCAGGTTGTTGTTTTTGAATGCTCCTTCTGCTCTGCTTTTTATATTGATGTAACTTACCGGGTTTCCTGGTTCCTCTAAGGTGTATATGTGGCAGCATATCCAACTATTGTTGTGGGGTTTGTAGTTCTTGAATGAAAGGATGGTGGGGAGTCCGTGCTGGTACCCAGTCACCGTAATGCCATTTTTGGTCTGATTTTAGTAGGACTCGCAATTGGAGAGGAATATATAGTCTACACTGTGGTTCAAGTTAGTTTGTAGGTGATGTACTCCTTTTAGTTTATCGTAGGTCTCTTTATGTTTTCCAGGTTTTGTTTGGATCCTCCCAGATGTGCTTGATTTGCCATATTCCCTTTTCTAGCCAGTGTCCCCATTTGGGTTCTGATTTTGAGGGCATACTCACACTGCGACCCCAAATCCGCAAAATATGCGGATTTGGGAAGGGTCGATTTGAGGTTTTGGCCATAGTTCACATCACACTACTGTACCTTTTCAGATGGGACAAGGCCGCGGCCGTCTGGAGAAATGGGGATTCAGTACTTGGCTGGTCACACGACGCCATCCACAAATTGTGCAAGAACTTTCATGAACGAATTTCCGTCAGTTCTCAAAGAAAATGCTAAAAAATAAATAGGGCATTTGCAGTCACCTCCAGAGGTGACCGCAAATTCCCTTGCCCCACGGCTACACAGGCCGCTGACGAATGGGCACACGAATGGTACATTTAGGACTTTGGCAAATCTGTTTGACCGGTCGTCTACCTTTTTTGCGGGGAATTTGGGATTATAGGTATGCCTTAAGAGTGGGAGGCTTTCCCCTTTATCAATCTTGATCAGTGAGTTGCCAAAGAGGGGTTGTTTGAGAACGTCATCTTTTTTCTTTGGACCTGTTATGTTCTCTGGGAAGATGATTCTCCAGGTTTGCTCTCAGAGCGATTTAGTTTGGGGGGTGTCGCTGGTGTTTTGCTGGAGTGCTTGGTCGGATTGTTTTTGTTTCCCTTTTGGAAGTGGCCTGAATTTGTTGAAAATCCAGAAGAGGCCTGTCATGTTGGGTGGAGAAGTAAATGGTGTTGGAAGTGGCCTGAATTTGTTGAAAATCCAGAAGAGGCCTGTCATGTTGGGTGGAGAAGTAAATTGTGCCAGTTCTCTGATGTGATTTAGGGCTAGTGGGGTCCGGTGCAGATTGTCCTGGAGGGTTAATCTTATCCCATTTGATTTGTAGAGCCTGAATTTGACGGGTTGGATCTATAAGACCTAAGCCCCATCTGCTTCTTGGGCTGGTAACTATCTTGCAGGCCACCTTATGGATAAAGTGTTGCTTATCCGAATTACCTGTCCATAGGAATGCTGTTGCTTTTTTCCTCAACTGGCTTTGGAAGTCAGTAGCTGGGAACCAGATGGAGGTAGAATACCACATCATTGCTAAGGTTGAATTGTTGAGCGCTAGTACCCTGCCTAGTAGGGAAGTATGTGTGGCTTTCCAGGTGTGCATTCTATTTACCATTGAAGACAAGAGCGTCACTGCCGATATTTGGTGACATCCTTTGAGATTGAGGTTGATGCCCACTAAACGGATTGGCGAGTCTGGGTTTGTCCATTGTCATCATGTCAATGTTAGCTCTATGGGAGGGGGTGTTTCTGCGGTCCACCAGCCTATTGTTTTTGCCCAGTTTACTTTCATTTCCGCGGTCAGTTGGAATGCTTGCATTGCTCGTGTCAGGGCCTGGAACGAGGAGTTTGAAGCTCTGATAAGTACGGTAAGATCGTCACCGAGAGGAGAGTAGTAGGGATGTGGAGGTGTTGACCACGTTCGTCCATGATGTTCTCTATCCTCTCGATGGCTCTATCCTTTCTCAGGAAGGTGACTTTGACACTGTATGACCCAACCTAAACCAACGCTGCCAAAACGCCAGTAACAAAAGGCGACTTTGACACATTTAGCACCACGAACACACAAAAACATTCACATGCACACGTACACGCACACAGACACACACACACACACACACACACACACACACACACACACACACACACACACACACAGGGTTGGTGTGAGTAAAGTCAACCACTTTTCTCTCTCAATGATATAACCGAATTTCAAAAAACAAACCATCTAATTATTACTAACTCTGGGCAATGTGGTGAGTCCTTATCCATCAGTCAAATGTATCCTGGGCACAAAATCTGTCTGTCCAGGTTCAATCTTCTAATGAGTCGGTGAAAGTACGACGAAACAATCTGGCACAATTTTGTTCTTTTTTAAGTGTATAGCGAATATGACAACACACACACACACACACACACACACACACACACACACACACACACACACACACACAGGTTGTTAATTAAGGGAAATATACAGGGTTCTCTCAACTTACTCTGATGTTTGTAATCCCAAGTCACGTTTCGCCCTCGTTGACTGCACGTAAACTTCCAGTTCAATTCGCTTCTTGTCAAAGCTGGGGTCTTTGAAGGGCCGGCATTCCATTTGGCTGGAATTCCACAACTCCTACATATCATCACAACATTCACGACAATGAAGGTAACTAGTCACCCCATGTTGCACATGTACTCGAAAGCATTGACATGTTTTGATGTTTGTTCATGGTGTCTGTCATCCGACAAGCTTATGCATAACGCCCACTGACCTCCCGAGAGTAGCTTCTGAAAACATTGGTTTTGAAATTTTTTAAAAAACACAAGTTCCCAATTCTAAGAGACTTCCCACTAAGTTTCAGTTCCCATATCGCACACAATTGTTTTGTTCCCCTAATTCGTTCTTGCTTCCCAGTCTTCCAATTGTAACTGCTGTTTAGTTATCAGTAGGCATCTCCATCTATTTCATGGGGTTCTTTTCAACAAGCGGCATTAGAGTGTACTCACACTAGCACAATCTAAAATGTATCTGACCGTAATCATCACTCGACTTGGATGTATCTGACCACAATTACGTCCAGAAATAAGTAAAAAGGTCCTAGCGTGAATATGCCCTTCGATTCTTTTGAAGGTTGTGATGACCCTTTACGTCTTTCCTCGGTTACTTCTCACCTTTTTCGATTCTATTTTTTGTCTTCTTTCACAAGTTTTCAAAATTGGCCACATCCCCTTTTCTAACCATGGCCCCACCTGGTGTGCCCCTAGTAAGAGATAGAGGGTTAGTCCGATGATCCACTGGTTCTCAAGAGCTTGAATTTGGAGTGTTGGGTCTACTATGCCTAATCTCCGCCTACTCTTAGTGTGCGTGAGTATCTTCCATGCTACCTTATGAATCAAGTGTGTCTTGTCGGTGTTGCCCATCCCTCTTTCTGATGTCCTGTTGGAAGTTTGGAGACGCAAACCATAGTGTTGTGACGTACCGCATGACGGTCAAGATGGACACGTTGAGCGCCAGGGATCGCCCTAGGACTGAGGCGTACGCCCTTTGCCAGCATTGCATTTTATTAAACCACCAGTAAGTTTCCCAGCCATTTTGCAGAGAGACGCCGTGCATGCAGGCGTGTTGGGCGGGATAAACCGGGGTGCCTCTCCAGATCCCCAAGATCATTCTGTGCTTTTCATTGCAGAATAGCCCAGCTTGCCACATCCTGATCAACCGGACTAAGCCTAAGCTGTTGCGCTCGACTAACGGGAGTCAGAGACCCCTAACCCCGCGAATGCGGCCACCATGGAGGTTGGTACTCCTAACATTCTTCTTCGCTTTTCTTCTTTCAGCCCGCTATTCATCCTCTCGGTCATCTTAGGTGCCTTGTACTAGCTTGTAGGCTTTGTAGGTTATTTTTGAGTCCGTGGTCTGGCTTTAGGATGCCAAAGACTTTTCATGAACTGCATGGACAATTACTCACTAGCGCAAGGACGCCCTGTACCGCCTTCTGCCAATAAGTAGTTGATTGGGTGTGTGATGACAATGTTGATCCAAAATGACTGGAGAAATAGTACCGGGAGTGCTATGACTACTTCCATATTTCTGAATTTAGTATTTACACCCAATTAGCTATGAACAAGATAATGCAGAGAGCTAATCAGTCTAGAGAAGAGTCTGTCTATAACTAATCCCAATCTGGTTGTCTCTGTGGTGCTGCTGAAGCCTGGTGCGATCAGCACATGCATGCCTGAATTAAGCCCACATCATGTGCTTCCATTATCCCTGGGCACTTCCCAAGTTCCCATGCACCGCCCTTCTCCCACCAGATGCACCAGAAGAAGGTTGACTCTCAAGGTAACGAATTTGCACCTCGCAATGCAACGACAGTCAAGAGAAATGCTCTTTTGCCCACTGAAAGAACTATGCGCCAACTGCAATGAAAATCAAATAGAAAACCTGTTCCATTGTTTCCTCCTATGCCCTAGAATAAAACCACTTTGGCACAGGATAGCAAAATTATGGAACTTAATAACAGCTTCAACCTTCACAGACAACAACATACTCCTACTCCTAGGTTTTGAAATCCCAGAAAGCTGGGGCCCACTAGAAACTAACTTCTTCCAAATACTTAGAAAGGCGACACTATGGACAATATGGCGAAAAAGATGTCAAGAAACAATTAAAAAAACAGAGAATGCACACCCAGGAAGCTTGGACAATCCTCCAACAACAGGTAGAAACCGAATATTGGACACTATGACATAAAGTACGCAGGAAAATGAAAGAAGACGAAAACAAAGCCGAGGAACACCAACACAGATTCGAAGAACATTTCCTAGCAAAGGGTAAAATCGCTCTGATCCAGAAGTCAAATATAGTATTCCGTTTATGGGAAAGTTTTCCACCATCACCCCATACACAGGATCACTCGTTAAACAGTATCCCCGAGTCCCTAGAGGCCAACATACTAACAGAGTAATTTAACCTACAGAACATAATAGGAAAGTGCCCAATCTCGCTAGGTTCAAAAACGCAGCAAATAAAACAGTCATCTGGAGAAAGGAACGTTTCACTTCACAGTCTAGAGGGAGAAACGGGGTTTAGGGTTTAAGATCTAGAGCGCAAAAACAGCCAAGGTAAACTAGGAACATTTGGACCACGGCAACACTACGACAGAAGGTTTAGGATTTAAGGTTAGACAGAGACAGAGCAACTAAGGCTTAGAGTCCCAGAGACTGCAGAAGACTCATAGGAAAAAAAAAAAAAAAAAAAAAAAAAAAGAAGGGGATGTACGGTTTGGACAGAGTCAGGGAGCAATGCACAGGTTGGTAGAAATAGCGAGAGAGCTCTTTCTAAGAATCATAGCAACAGCTGACAGAACTGGAAGTCATCAAGAAAAGTGAGGTAAAGAGGGACCAGGATGTAAGGTTTGGGCAGAGTCAGTGAGCAATGCACAGGTTGGTAGAAACAGCGAGGAAGCCTTTTTTAAGAAATATACCAATATCTGGCAGAATCGGTTTTCAGTTCTGAGAAGAAAGAGAGAGCAACGGCAAGATGACAGTCAAGCCTCCACTAAATGCGGAGCAATCAATACTGCTCAGGGGTCCTTCGCTTGAATGAAAGTAAGTGTGGGAGTCTCTTGTAAGGAACATGGCATCTGTTAAAACAGGGTAGAGCTGGGTAGAAATAGTCCTAGCAAACTGTTAGACGCCAGCCCTGGACAACAGCTCTAGCATCCAGGTTCATCCGACAGCACTCAGCTGAGAGGAGCTAGGAGCCAGGCGGCTCAGAGAATCAGAAGGTAGAGAATATAGGCTAACTTAGGCAGGGGTGAGGGGTGGTACATCCTTCCCTCGGGAAGTAATCAATGCCGTCCACTCGGGCCTCCCAACCATAATGGGGAGGAGCGTGCGTGTGTCTTCATTGTATCCATATTTGACTTGCCGGGGGAATAGGAACCGGACTGTTGCTCCCCAGAATGGCTGGAGCCAGGGCCGAGAGGTTCCGTTTGGAAAAAAAAAGAAAAAAAAAAAAAGAAAAGGGTTAGGAATTAAAACTAACGAGCCTAGCTCAGTTGGTACACCCATGGACTCCAAATCTAGATACTATCAGATGAACAGAATTAAAAAAAAAGGGATAGGCCAACTTACGGGTTTTGAAAAAAGAAAAAGAAGGGGTTAGGGATGCCTACTTGATGCTGCCCCAACCACAGATCATCTCACCAACTGTTCATGATGCCCCGTTTGATGACCGATCGATGCTCAAGAACCACCAACAATGGAATGTGACTACCGTCTCAAGCAACAGCAAGCACCAATATGCTCTCACCACATCGCCGCATATTCTATGAACCTTCCACCCGTCCGCTCTCTACCCAGCGGAGGAGGTAACCAGCCGGCGAAATCGTGGACAGCACTGCCTGCGTGCACCCGCTGGCACCACAATACCTATTTTGCCAATAAGCGGCCACTGTCACAGAACCCACCCCAACAACAAAATGCAAAGAGAACCAGCACGTGCGAACACAAAATTTCTGAGATGCAAGACCTCATTGTAGACCAAACATGAGTAAACGAAGTAGAAATCAGAATGACAAAGTCGGCCGCACACGAATCCAAGAACACGCCGAACACTCGAGTCTCTTGACAATGAAAGCCCTCTTCATGCCTCCGACAATCAATAGAACAACACAGTAGTGGCTCTAGCTAGGATGTGTCTATAGACTCTATAATACTTCCCTTGCCTATACACTCTAAGATTACTACCTCTCACTCTCCCTCGTCACTCTCCTCTTGCCAGGTGCTGCTAAAGAGTTTGATCACATAGGTGCTCCTTGGCCAATGCCACATAAGTATCAGCCAGTTCCCACTCTCGCTCTTCTCTCCCAACCTACCCGATTTCCCACCACCTCTTCCGTGTGCAGCAACAGCCAACCAGCTATGGCGTGCACTCACCAGACAGTTACCGCATGCCGCCTTCCCTTTTCTCCACAGGGGCTGGCTGCATGCTGTATCAGTGCTGGCATGTGACACTGCCCTCTGCACGATGTGCATATATGCCCCGCCCTCCTCTTTCGTTCTCATTTGAGGCTGGGGGCTGGACCTCCGGGAGGCACTCCCTACCGGCCTGGGTCCCAACCCAGGTCCCTACCCGGCTGGTATCCCGACAGGGCCTATCGAGTAGTTGCATGGGCTGGTCTCCAAACGCGGGCTCACTCTCTTCTCAGGGACGGCCTTCGCTTAGGGCTGGCCCGCCTTTTTGTTGGCCGCCTTTTCCGAGGCCTGCTGAGGGTTGGCGCCTCCCAACAGCAGGACTGTTCCTCTCAGCCTGCAGAAGCCAGGCTGCCTGATAAGAGCGATCACCTAGAGCAATGTCGCATGAAGGCACGGCTTGACTTTCTGTAAACAGAGACCCTGTACTCGTGGTGGACCAAGACTGAAACTGGAAGCCCTCGCCGATACTTCAAGCTCTCCAACTGCCTTCCCCTTCTGTGACTACCCATGAACTTTTTCTTTTTTCTTTGCCGGTTTGCAGTAGGCCTTCTGATTTGAGGTCTTTCAGATATCCAAACGTTGACGCTTTCAGATATCCAAACTCGATGCTGTATCAGTGCACATTACTGAGAGTACTCGGGTTAGCCAATGACATTTTTCTATGTTAGTCCCCTTTTTCACCCACACACCCCCACTCCTGGGCTCGAGCTCTGTAATCGGTGTTGCCGGTTGAAGAGTTTTTATAGTGTATATCACTGTATAATGATATAAAATCATATAATCATATCCTCTCTTTTTTTTTTTTTTTCTTTTTTTTTTTAAGCTGTAAGAGCATAATCTGTGTGTCCCTCATGAAGTCCTCCTGAAAAACATTACGATTCCAAACCTTGTTTGTGTAAGTCTATCCAAACCCTAAACCCTAAACCCTTAACTATAACTTTTATTTTGCTTAAACATCAATCCACTGACCTCCACTTTCTCTTCCATTTCCTATCCCTATGGTGGTCCTATTTCCTGTGTCATTCCTTGGACCCCCAAGGACACCTCTGATCTGTCCTCCGTAAACCAATGAAAAATCAGTCTCTGTCCCTCTATGATCGCAACTTTGCCACTGGCCAATACCTTATTCTGAAATTTCGTGAGAATAGCCTTCGCCTTTTCAGGGTTTACTGCTGCTTGTATTTTGATCCTCTGCCATTGAGCTCTAATGTCTGTTTCCAATAGATTATAGAGTATGGTTCTGGCTTCCATCCTGGTCATCAGACTTYTGCCGATCACCCGTTGACATCTCCGTTTCCAGATAATCCACAATGTATACTGTCTCAATAGCTGAAAGATGTATTTTTCACTCTCCTTCCATGTCTTAAGTACTTCTCTTCCCATACGCAAGAGCCTTCTGCTACTTGGAAAGAGAACGTCCGTAGTACGCTCCCAAAGTATACCGGCCATGGCCCATATGTATTCTGCTTCCATACAACTAAGTAAGCAATGTACCATCGTTTCAGGCTCTTTGTCAATGCACATAGTACAGTCTTGTTGTATTTCTTCCCTATGCTGCCTAATCCTTTTTTCATATAACCAGACGTTGACTGGAAGTGCCACATGGAATATAAGCCACTGCATACTCCGGATCTTGCCCAACCTGATACCATGAAGGCTTGACCATGGTATTTTGCCCACCTGTTGTCTTGGTATGCCCACCCTTTTTTCCCATCTTATCGCCAAAGGCCTATCCAAAAGGTTCGACCTTCTTCTAAGCCTATAACCCCATTTAGTCGTATACTGAAGTATGTTAATTTTCTTGACCACTCGTGACGAGCTTCCCTTGATGTTCCATGCCCATTCGATTGGGTCCACCTCTAGATTCTGAATGGTGATCGTTGGAGCATATATTGTGAATTCATCATTCTCTATGACTCTGACTTTTCTCAAGAGATCCTTTCTGATGGTGATCGATACCCTTGAATCCTTATCTAAGTGGCTCACTGTGTTGCCTGGGGTAAAGATTGAATACATATCCGCTTCCAACCATTGTTTATGTGGTCCTACCTCCTGACCAATTCGAAAGGCTTGCTGAGGTTCTACACTATGACTCCAAGTTGCCCAATCACCCCATCCCCGTTTGTATGGACCCCTCAACATCCTCGTCCAATCCTCCGGAATGGAGATTAATATGTCATTCAGGTTTTCGATTAGTCTATGACACCCCTTCATTTCTTCCCTCAGCTCTCATAATCATATCCTCTCTCCTTTCCCACCAGAAAGTTTTCCTGCTAATCTACTCTGAGTCTCTGTATCGTTCCCATTTTAACGGATGTCCCGAAAGGTTTCCATTGTTACTCTTTTCCAAAAATTTGCGTCTAATCTCTGCATATGACTCATTGACTACAGATACCGGATCATTTATTTCCTGTTTTTCGGCTTTTTAATAGTTTTTAATACTTTTTATGTGTTTCACTGTTTCCCCGTTTTCTACCTGTTTCACTTCCAGGGTAACTTGTTACCTGTGCATCCTTGTCTGCAAATTTATACTGGCCTCCAAATTCACTGCGCTTCCTCGTTATACTTATCGCAATCTGCAAAAGACGTATACATGCTCAGAGTTATGGGATAGCAGGAGGAGGAAATGGGAAGAGTAGTGCAACAGCACCAAACAAGCCAGGCACAACAGCGACGTGGGAAGAGGGAGAGGAGGGGCGGCAAGACCATTCTAATCTCCCGGAGTCAGTTCATGTTCAGCCCTGATTGATTGAATGTTTCCATGCAGTACCATTGCTTCTTCAAAGGTCTGATGCTGCAGGAGCAAGGGTGGGAGGAGCAGTGGAATCATAATTGACGATTCACCATTGATCGCACTGACCTAAAGAAGCATTGTCCATGGGAAAAGCACGTTTTTGGAAAAGACATGGAGCACTCTGCAACTTTGGACACAGAAACAGAGTTCAGCATGGATTACCCAGTGCGAAGCTGCCCGTATCAAAAGTGTCATTGAGTGCTGGTAGATCTCACAGACATGAAAACCTTCTTATCTTTCATTCTTATCTTATCCTACTCTTTGTGGTAATGCTTGCTCTAACATTTGAAAGCCAGTGGTGGTTAGAATGACAAATATCCTCCATCAACCAATGAACAGCTGCATTCCATATCGGATGGATGGTAGTGGTGGTGGGTAGGTGGATGTAGAGTCATAGACTGGATGTATAAATGCATGGGTGGTTGAAGGGATGGATTTGTGGGTAGATATGTAAATGGATGGATTTGTTGGTAGCTACATAATGGCTGGGTGGGTTGTTGGGTGGGTAGACCGAATGGATGGATAGACATATGGAGGGATGGAGGGATGGAGGGATGGAGGGATGGAGGGATGAATGAGAGACGAATGGACAGGCAGATGGATGGATGGACGGACGGACGGACGGGCGGATGGACTGACGAAGGGACGGACGCGCGGACGCACAGACGCACGCACGGACGCACAGGCGGAGGGACGGAGGGATGGATGGATGGATGGATGGATGGATGTGACACAAACTCGCAGTTCACAGCAGTGTACGTCTCTGCTGGGAGGCTTAATGCTGCTGGCGTTGCGGTTGTCAAGGCCATGAACTTTCACTATGGATGCAGCTCAAGCATGACACACATCAGTGCCATCCAGAGCAACAAAGACAGACAGACAGGCAGACAAAGATGGCACGGGGCTGTGTCCCTTCTTCTTCTACTGCTAATGGTGCTGCTGCTGCTGTCGTCTTCCACCATGACCGTCCTTCAGTTCATGGGGTACACATTCTACGATAAAGTAACTTTCATTCCATGAAATATTGCCTGGGAGTCGATAGCAGTCTCTAAATTAATTTCTTAAGCCTGCAGTGCACCATTGCCCACAAGTTGATACAGTGAAGTATTTGGTCCCTCCCAGAGAATCCTATTTTGTGAGTGGGCCGTGAATTTGTGCTGTGAAATCATTGGAAGTGAAAAGATAGGCAGGTGACAAACTTCTTCATGTACACATCACTGTGAGTGATCAACAGCTACACAGAGACGTGAACTGCTGCCAGTCATGATTTGTCATTTATGAGTGGCCTTCCTGAAACACAAGTGCGCCTGTTGCGGCTTGCCTTGCTACAAAGCGAGGATGAGTGGCTTATAACAGGGTTTTTAACTTCAGGTGACAAAAGAAGAGAGAGAGACGGACAGCGGCAAGGAGGGCACATGTGGTGTGCTATCACCCCTCGTGCCTCCTCCTCCTCATCCTCCTCCTCCTCCTCCTCCTCCTCCTCCTCCTCCTGTGCAATCACCCTCCCCCATCCCCCCTCCTCCTACATCTCCTTGTGCAATCATCCCCCTCATCCTTTCTCTTCTCCCTCCTCCTCCCCCTCCTGCTTCCCCTTACCCCTCCTCCTCCTCCTCCTCCTCCTCCTCCTCCACCATTCTATTGTGGGGGAGCAACACCCCAGTTAATCATCCACCAAGCAGGAAAGCCTGCCTCTTACTTTTGCGGAATGTCTTGAACATCCACCTCCCAGTGTCACAGCTTTGCAAATCCACCATACCAGGGCAAGTTTTCATCAAGCCAGAACCAAACACACTATTTTTACTACCGTCTCCCCCCAAAAATAACGCATATGTGTTGTTAACGAATACAATGCACAGGTTGCTTTCTATTCGAGTACAACACATATGTTTTCTATTCGAACAGCCCTCGTTTTCGAATACAACGCAAATGCGTCCTATTCAATTTTTTGAACTTTTCGAAAACTCGAATACAACTCACATGCGTTATGTTCGGGGGAAGACAGTAGGTCTTGCAGTAGGGATGACTTAGGGTGCTCAGGTATAGGGGTATGCTATGTGGGGTTGAATCCCAAAAAACTTGAGATCTAAGGTCCTTTGCCCATACTGTGATTTTCAATGACAAATTGGTTCTGTGGCCTGTGATGATTCAACAACAAATTGTCCTGCATAAGACAAAAAAAGTTTGGCTGAATGGAAGATTCAGTAGGTACCAGATCTCTTGCCGGTCTGATGTTGATGTCATCTACATCTTTCTCACTTCCTAACGAAAGCCAAGGAGCCTTCGGTTTTGGCCGCCGTCTCTGTTCTCTCCTTGCAGCTGCCTCCTCGCTCTGCCATGGCTCCACCGCCTTCGGCTCTTCCTCTTTCTTTTGTATGTTTTCCTCCTCATTCGGCGTCATCACCATCTGTTCTTCATTCTTTGGTGGGCCCTCTTCATTACTAGTCGGCACAGCCTCCTCGGCTACAGTCTCACTCATCTCGACGCCGTTCACTTCCATCTTCACAACCCCGTCCCGTTCTGGTGAATGGCGATGGAAGCAACTACTACTTGAATCCGCACTAAGGAGGTGGACGATGAAGAGATCACGAAACAAGGAAACCTGCACAGAACGAAACAAGAGAAAAACATGATAATAGCCAAGCTTGACCGTCACATCGGAAACTTCAGTGACGATTCAGAGCTGGGAGACTCCTGGATAAAGCTGTGTACAGTGTGTAGGTCTTCTCACACATCTCTTTTTTTTTTCTTTCCAGATATGAAACTGATCAGAACAGAAACGTTGCACTTGATCTTAGCCAAAAGGCAGAGAAAGGTATTGCTCCTCACACATTTCACGTTAAGCAAGTTCGTTCGGAAAGGTTTAAAAAAATACTAAAAATAGTAAAATAGTTAAAAATAGTTAAAACTACCAAATACACCACGCGACAGCAAATGAAATATAGCTCAGAGACCTAGCCTCTTTTTTGGCTGAATTGTACTACACACAAAATACTAAAATAGTAAATTACTCTTTTTTTCTTTTTTCTTTTTTTTTTCTTTTTTTTTTCTTTTTTTTTTTCCTCTTTTTTTTTTTTTTCCCTTTTTTTTTTTTTTTTTTTTTTTTTTTTTACGGGGCGGAGGGAGGTTAATGTTGGGATTGATAAGAGCATCCCCAAACAGTACTCCCTCTGGCCCTTTCTCCATTCTATTGGTGGGGAGATTCGCCGGCTGCAAACCGAGTCTAGTGTCCCATAGTACATTCTTGACGAAACATGTTACCAAAAATAGGTCTTGGGACTCTTGGCAGCATTGATGACCCTCTTGCCAGGGGAATGACTAACCATGTCCTCAAGGAGATAGTTTTCCGGACTTAAATACAGATTGAATAGCCCCACCGATACACCTACCTAGAGATGGGAACCTGTTTTCTTTTCTGGAAACCTTCTGAACAATTGAGAATTTCTACAGAAGAGTTAACAAATACCACTGTTTGTCTTTGCGAAAGGACTCCAACTCAACCCCCCCCCCCCCCCCCCCCCCCCCCCTTTTCCCATCGTTTTCTTCTTAGCGATAGGCCCCCTGCCACGTGGCAGCATTGGCGGCGCTCCCCCCCGCCCGCCCCGTGATGACCCTTCCAACAACCCCCCCCCCCCCCCCCCCCCCCCCCTCCCTTCTTTTTTTATAGGGGAAATCTTCTGAACAATTGAGAATTTCTGCAGTGGTTACGATGCTTGGCTCTTGAGGTCAAGGGTGCCGGTTCAAATTTCCAACCCATGTGTGCTGTCATGCGGAGGGATCTGAGGCTGAGGAAGTACTGATCTGTACTAACGCCCGGTTCCAAAAGTGGGTGGGTGTTGGGGGAGAACGGCCACTTGTGTTTGAGGGTCATGTGCTGGATTAAGAGCATGTGTGTGTGAGTACGGACACTGCGGACATGCAGAGGTGAGGTGGATACCACGACCGGTGGTATGGTTCCACTTCTGAGCACCGCGTCATGGTGGTTACGATGCTTGGTTCTTGAGGCCAAGGGTGCCATTTCGAATCCATGCGCTGTCATGCGGAGGGATCCGAGGCTGTGGAAGTACTGATCTCTTCATCCCCTCCCTGGAATGCCCGCTAAAACTTGCGCTCCTGGCGTCCTGCTTCCTTGCGAGGGGGAGCTTTCACTCCTTCCCATACCATTGCAGATCTATCAATGAAAGGCTGTGATGCATCCCCCTTGGGAAGGGGTCAGGAATGTCTGCGGAGGGTTGCAGGTGGATGGAAGCATCGATCTTGGTCCAATCATCATGAAAGATGAGCCTGTAATCTCATTGTAGTTGGCCGTGGTCGTCTCCCCTCCCGCCTTCTTCCCATTGAACCTCTGTGATGCATCCTACTTCCTCTCGCCCTAGCCGGTCCATACTTCCTGAGATTTCAGTCTTGTTGTGCGCTTGCTCTCGTTTCGTTTTTGTCTGTTCCCGTCGTGAAAGAAGGTCAGTCTGGATTTGTTGTTTTACGATTTATGTTTCCTCACCCTCCGGTCTCACGCCTTTCAGTCTTGTTGTGCGCTTGCTCTAGTTTTGTTGATACCTGGACGTTATTAAGGTCAGATACGTCCAGACCTGGCTGGCTGTTATCGCCGTCAAATACACCCCCCAGAGCATTAGTCTCTGTGTCCTTCATGGGAAGTGAAGCGTTGGCAATCCTGGCAGGCACTTGTTCGGTGCAAGAATTTTCCATTTAATGTTTGCCGCCTTTTTTTTCCATGTGAAGGAAGTGTTGGGAATTTTTTTTGGATCTAAAGTCTGCAGGTTATGCAGCACTTTTTCAGATCAGAAAGGTTGCAGGGTTGGGTTTCTCTATCGTCCTGGTTGATGCAGGATTTACAGGATTATTAATATATTATTCTTCAATCGAAAGATTTGAACGGCTGCACACCTGAAGACTATTCGATTCTGCAAATGGCCAGTGCCTTCTACAGCCTTAGTGAGCAATAGAACAAAATCATCTGCTGACGTAAAATTTCTGTTCTGCTGAGCGAAGGCCTTGCCTTCGCATTTGTTTGTTTGTTTGTTTGTTTCTTGGAGATCCGTCAGCTCTGCGCCTCTTTCTTATATTTACAAACGGGTCAGTCAGTCTCGTATCCGATCTTGGATTCATCTAGACAATCAGTGCAGTGTGATGTTGCAGACTTTCACGTGTTCCTTGACCGAGATACGAACACGGTCTGGTCCGACCAATCGAGTCTTAGAATGGCAACTGGAAGGCTATACGGCTATATGGCTATACGGATAAGGGAGAAAGCGTCCTTTGGTTTACGTGGGAAGTTCACGTGAAGGGAGAGAGCGCATACAAGAACATAATAAAGGGAGCAGCGGCAAGACCCCTATTATGAAAGCCCGAAGCCAAGCAACAGGAAGGCTATACGGCTAAGACAGCCTGCGAAACGGAAGATGTTTTCCAGATTGGAGGGAGGACTAGGTCTGCTCTGCTAGACCCCCATCAGCAAAACTTGGCCATTTTGGCTACGTGGTCGGTCAAAGCAGGGAGCAGCGGCAAGACCCCTATTATGAAAGCCCGAAGCCAAGAAACAGGAAGGCTATATGGCTAAGAAGTGGCTTGGGAAACGGTGATGTTTTCCAGATTGGAGGGAGGACTGGGTCTGCTAGATCCCCATCAGCAAAACTTGGCCCTTTTAGCTAAGTGGCCGATCCAAGATCTCTCTTGGCAGATGATCACCCACCCTGGTTAAGTCTATAACCCTGTCTATCCTAGCAAAGGAGTGTTCCTTAAGCCAAGAAGAGAATGTTGTGGCATGTTTTGTAATCAAATCTTATCAAAACAAACGGACGAAATCCAAATCCAAATTCTGGAAAAACATTAACATTCTTTTTGCATGGCACAAACTTTTCCTACGGAAAGACACCCCCTCCCACTACAAAGGACGCTGTCCTTTGTTTTTAAATAATTTTTCAAAATGGAAATCCATTTATTTTGGACACGGGAGGCTCACCCTGTTCTGCGCACGATTCACCAGACCTATTTTGGGGAAAGCCTGGGTCGAGAGGTGCGTTGTTAGAATGTGAGAATGCGAAATCTGTGGGATGAATGAAGACTCAGATGTGGAAATCAGAACAGCAGATCAGATCAAAATTGGGGTGAGTCCCGGGGGAGTCAGAAACGTCGCCGAAAGGCTGCACTCTCTATGATTGAGGCAATTAGTCCCCTGGTCAGTGGGCATGGAAACACATCAACTAGCTGAATGGTTAAGTAAAATTCCAAGTGCTGGGCTCCTGGTGTGTTCCCCTGGACAACTCTGGAAAAAAAAAAAAAAAAAAAAAGTTTCTCAGGGGCCAAAAAGTTCCACTAGCAGCGTCGAGTTTCGTCAATGCCTGAATCTGGATGTGTTTGTGGAGATGTGCATAAATCGCGTTGAGTTTCCTCAACCGCACATCGGCACAAACACGTCCAGATTCAGGCCATGAGGAAACTAAACGCTGCTACCTAGTGGGACTTGGCCCCAGATTGCAGATGGCCTGCACATTGAGGGATTTTCGGCCAAACTATGGGAAGCAGAGGTCACCTTTGGCTTCACCAAAGAACTGGGGGGGGAATGGCGTAAGTTTTTTCTTTTTTTTTCTTTTTTTTTTCCGATGGACCACGGATCAGATATTAAACTGATCAGAACAGAAACTACACTTGATCTTAGCCAAAAGGCCGAGAAAGGTATATATAAAATGGCGTAAGTTCTAAGTACCTGTTAAGCTCAAAACAAGTAGGTCTGCTGCGGGAGGCCTGCTGATTTATGCAGCCAGTCTGCTAATGGGATTTAAGGCTTTTTTAAGCCAATTACAACTGCTGCATTGGATATTAGAGAAATGAACTGGACAGGAGAGAACAGGTCTTAGACTCTCAGGGCATACTCGCACTAGGACCTTTTAACTTATTTTCTGGACGTAATTGCTGTCAGATGCGTCCACGTCCGGCCATAGATATGGTCAGATACATTTGAGATACAGCTAGTGTGAGTACGCCCTCAGTCAGTTTATTCCGATAGACGGACATTCGTCCCAAGTGGGCGGTGCTTTCCATAGACTTTCGCAATAGCGACAGCAACATGGGTGTGAGTGTTTCTCCATCATGGCGACACAAGAGCTTTTAAGTTTTTATCTTCAATGATGCTCCCCGCCAATAGATGGAGACTCTCCCCAGATGCTAGCGGTGTCTGCTCTTACCAGCACTGCTAGCACTGGAGGGGGTTGTTTTTTTTTTGTTATAAAAAAA